AATAATGCTAATTAATAATGCTAATAATATAATAATCTGTTTTATTTATATTTTGAGAGCTACTTACAATATATTTTAAAAACATGAAATATATATATAATATAATTAAAAATTAATCAAGTTCAAAAATGACAGATGTTATTTTTTTCTAATTTTCCAAATCAATTTTTTAAATCATAACAACAGATATTCTAAAAATCTTTTATTATGTATTCTGTCTCTCTCTCTCTTTTCGTCAATGTTTAGTATATATGTAATATATAGTAGATATGTAATATATTTTAATGTACATAATGTACATGATATACATAAATACAAAAATAAAGAAGGTATAATGTAAATAAGAAAATTAAAATAAATTTCTAATATAAAATAAATTTCTAGAAAATACTTTGCACGGGCCAAGTCTGTCTTGGTAGCATAATGCAGCTGCCTACTCATGGTATAGAGCCACGAACGAAAGAGGAAATTTTGCTTCATGCGACTGATTTTTTGGAGCAATATTTCACTTCGATTAGAAGGTACTAAAATTGCCACAGTATATATTCTTTGAAATTCTCATAAATCTTAAGCTTTTCTTCATATTTGATTAAAATAGATTAAATAGCGACGCTCATCGCGCACGTTTGGAGAGTGTGCAAAGAGAAGTGATTTCCACTGGTACATATCAGTTAACGGAAACAGAATTAGTTTTCGGCGCAAAGTTGGCTTGGCGAAATGCTGCGAGATGCATTGGTCGCATTCAGTGGTCAAAGCTACAGGTTTGTCTTATATTATAACTTACCTACTTTCACGAAAAAAAGAACAATATTTTTTATGCATTATATATAGTTCATAAATATATGAAAAATTATATCTATTAGTCCATTTGCTTATAAAACGAATGCATTTGTAGGTTTTTGATTGCCGTTATGTTACAACTACGAGTGGCATGTTTGAGGCTTTATGTAATCATATCAAGTACAGTACAAATAAAGGAAATATCAGGTGAAGTGAATTTTATACGAGATTCACACAATTTATAGTTTTTTCTAACTTTCATTATTTAAAGATATATAAATACTCAATCAGAATAGCTTTATCCTTTCCATTTTTTATACGTGAAATTGAAGAGATTGACATAGAGATTTAAATTATAGACAGCTAAAAATTATTTCAAAAAACTGCCAAGTACTTACGCGTATATGATATACAATATATATCTAATTATACAATTTTCAGATCCGCGATAACAATATTTCCACAGCGCACTGATGGGAAACACGATTACAGAGTATGGAATAATCAACTGATCAATTATGCAGGGTACAAAAATTCAGATGGTACCATTCTTGGCGATCCTGCAAACGTAGAATTCACAGAGGTCAGAATATTATAAAATTTAATCAAAATATATATTTATGAGATCTTTTTTTTTAATTATTTATATATATTATAAAAATAAAAAAAATATCTAACTTTTTGAAAAAAATTCTCTATAAAGAAAGAATGCATACATTTCGAAAATAATTTAATAAAGTCACTTTGTTTCCCAGTAGGTTTGCATGAAATTAGGATGGAAAGGCGCACGAACTAGATTTGATATATTGCCATTGGTTCTGTCTGCCAATGGACACGATCCAGATTATTTTGACATTCCCAGCGATTTGGTACTCGAAGTACCTCTTAATCATCCTATGTAAGCTTTCGTTAATGTGAAATTATGTAAATTTAACATATGAATTATTATAATTTTTTATTCTTTAAATATATCATTATTTAAGTTTATTGCGTTAATTAAAAAAATTATGCAATGTCATATATAATAATATTTGTATATAATAGGGCTTACTTTTGACAACTTTTTCAGAGCTTTAAACTTTTCGAAACTTCGAAACATCTTACATTTCGAAAATTCGAAGTTAATTTCATTCAAATTTGAATTCTTTCGAATTTTCGAAATTGTCAAAAATAGCCCTAATATATATATATATATATA